TTTGACATCTGAAGTTTGCAAAGGTTTTGCAGCCTTTAACCGAAGTTCAGAAGAAAAGCATTGCCGACTCCACCATCATCAAACCAACATATTTGTTGTTGATTGCTCTGGTTGAAAGGCAGGTTTTTTACTTTTTGGGACGCATCTTCTGTAATTTGCTGGGAGGGTAGCCTGCTGCACGATAAGGCCATAATATTGTCCATGGAAAGCATTTCACTAATAAACTGCCACTGTACTAATTGTTGCTTTCCGGCCTCTTGAACATCGTTGGAAAAAAGCACTGACACGCCATATGTTCGGGCGATCTTGCTTCCGTTGTCCTTCTTTGGCCTATCTTTTGGCTTGTCGCGCTCTCTAATTGACATTAGGAGAAATGCGTATCCCACTGGATCCGTGTCGCAGTGCACTTACAGAGAATAAAACGTTTTCTACAGTAGTGGAAAATTCCAGTGTTACTCGAAAAATTCTGGGTTCTCCATAGTGTGCAGAGTTCCGGTGACGAGGGTTCCCTAATATGTGTACGTGTTTGGGTTTGACGCTTGGTCGTCCGACAACTTCCCACGCAATGTGTTGGCCATAGATTCTGGGATGTTGTAGCACAAAACCATCTCCGGACTATTGTTAAATCCCTTGTTCACTGAACTAAAAGGTATGGTAATCGTTTGTCCTGCCCTACTGACAAGTGGTGCTTGTCTACTGTTTTCTGTCTATATGCGCTGACGGTGTTTACAATAGAAGAAACCGCATCGGCGGCCCTCCGGAAAAACTTCGCAGCCATCTCTGCATATGCACTGATATCCCGGTGGACATTGGATCGAAAATAGGCTTTTGAGTTGCATGTGCAGTGAGTTGGGTTAGGCTGCTTCGTTTATGTTAAAGAATGCTGTCTGATCTAATGGAACTTGCTTAACCAGACGTTTCGGGTGGTGCCTGATTTTCGTTCCCATGAGTAATGCTTGACTCTCGTAGCCACAATCAGTGTTCTTCCGGCGTTCTGCCGGTTGGAGAAGACAACTGTGATGAAGACTTGGGTGGTTGTGGTTCGTGAGAAGCAATATGTATAACCTTCCGTTGCTTCGAAGCCACTACGTCTCTCTGGTGCAAACGCGCCTCCAAAGAAGAAATATTAAAGTTCATCCGCTGATCGGCTTTTGCGGTTAAGCGGTCGCGCCTCTGAACTAGGATAAAAATGGGCTTAACGCATGGGATGATCGAGCAGGCAGTACAAAACCAAAGAAGTTCTTGGCGGCGATTTCACTCGCGCACCTGTTGTTGGGACGAAGGTGTACGCATTAGATGGTACCATTCAAAACAGTGCGAGAAAGCTAAAGCTAATTGATTTAATTGCTGTCATTCTGCTAACACTTGGATATTGTTTGGCTGAAGCCTTTTTGGAGTAGACTTTGCCTGATTTCTACCAACCAACGTGCTGTCTTTACTTGACCCAGTGAGTTGGTTGATATTCTGTAATTTTTCCAACTTTTATAGCTGCGCATTTCGGTCATGCGAACGCTTTGGTTACATGGATCAAATGAAACGTTTGAGCGGACGTGCCATTCACGTTATGCCTACTGCAGGTGCTCTGGCTGGCAAGGTCACGAAGAATGGTGTACTGAAACCTGAAAGTGAATCTGAACACCACACTGGACACAGATTCAGAGGTCACAAATTCCTCCACAGCTACATTACGATCCACGGGACTGGGATAAACTTAGACTTTACGGAACGTCCCGAGGATTATGTATCGATTGGGGTTACACAGCAAGCCAACCGACTCAAAGTGATTGCTTTTTCCGCTTGCGCTTAAGCACTGATGACAGCTACAAGAATTGGTGGTGGTGAGGACTTTATTAATAATTGTTAATTCCAAGTGTGATGGACCACCGTGTAGAGCTGGTAAATCCTGTTCGAAGGAACGTACGGTGTGTACACTGCGAGCAGACGGAATGAATATATAGCGGAATACTTCAGATGTCGCAGGAGCACGCACCGAAAGCCTATACGAGGTGCGATTTAAGTAAATCGGCAAATGACACTTGAGTAGGAGCAATATACATGAGAAGCGACGCCGTGGACTACTCAGTGAGCGTTGAACTTTGGCGAATCGAATTCCCAACCGACTTCGCCCCAACCCAGGTGTCTCTAGACTTCGCGCAAGAAGGGCCACATGATGTGAGGCAAAATTATGTCGGGACATATTCAGTCTGCTATCAAATTACTATCAAATTTCACGTCATAAATTTTTATTGCAAGTTTGTAACGTGAAGAGTGAAACTGGGAAACTGAGATCTACGTTTTTAGGCAATGTAAGATGAATCTAGTAGACACACTAGATAGACTTTGCTTAATTAGTTAAAAATATACAGTACATCAGTAATTTTGCCAGAATCTGAAGCCATTGAATTGTGTACTCATAAAATGCTTACATTTTTTGTAATCTAAATAGTATCGTCTATACGAAAAAGATCCATGCTAGTATTTATTATTTCGTGAGGAGGATGCGGGCATGTATGAATGTTAACGCAGGTCGCCTTTGGAGCACTGGCCCGACTTTGGATGTCCCTGGCCTAATGTAATCTCTAGTAAGCTTTAACAAAGAAGAAACTGAGGCATCATAATGCGGGTATCGAGGGATCGATTTTAATCATCAGAGCAATCCTCGTATACGGTCAATAAACGAGCGTTATATGTGGTTATCAATCCAATAGGCCAGAGCGGCACACCCTCAGGTACATTTTGACGGCAACCCAGTGTGTTTGCCGAGGGCGACTAAATTCCAAATTTCGTCTAGTTTTGATCTATTCTTATTGCATACACAGCGGCTCACCAAACGCCTTTCAACCTAATCTCACCACCGAACGAATAATCATCATTACTGCTGACAAATAATTTATCGGTTCAGCTGCAAATAAATCCTGTAACGAATGTTTGATTTTTCAATTCGCAAAACACAATATCGGATGCATTCAAATAGCAGCAGGTGGAGGACTATAGTTAGACGACTGACGCTGCATAAATGTGAGAATGACATGGTGCTTTTGTCGAGTGTTGACTTAGTTAGTACAGTAAGTGCAAGTGAAATCAACTACTTCTTCCAATGCGCGCTGATAATCAAACGATTGTTACATGTATTACATTTAGCCAACTTGTTTTTCTATTCGCAACAGGACCACAACCGCTTTTCCCGGTGGTCTGCCTAAGGTGACCTACCAGTCACCACAGCCAAGTCCCCATTAATGAGACTGGGGAGGGGTAGCAATGAGCGTACGTGCACCCTGGCCGATCACCCGCTGCATCCCACCAGTACCGTAAAGGATCTAATCGTACTCTCAAGCTGTGATCTGAAGTCTGTCAACAACACGAACAGAGTGCACGCAAACTGATTACGCCTGTTTGAACACTTATACGCAGATTTGCACTCGGCTTGAAGAGATTGCCACCCGTCTATCCTCCTCCATGATAAGGCCGGTGCTTGAGTACGGATTACCCATCTGTTGTCCGATCACAATAGGCGAGCTGCAATGACTGGAACGAGTCAAGTAAGTAGTCACCCGACACATCTTCCTTTTACGGGTTATGTCGTAGTGAGGTCACTCGGGATCACTACAGAAGCGACGACGGGTTCTGTAGAGAAGTACTCAGAACGGGCGTAGCGCTTGTAGGTACGCTGCATTCGATTTACTAACCGCGTGTTTGCATGCGAAGTCTCTTTATTTCAGGTGGTGGGTTTTCAATTTTGCCTAAATGATTTCTTCCTCATATAATTGTCTACCTGTACTCTATTCAATTAACTTTCACACCTTGCTTAAGCCAATTGTATTCGATTTCCATAACATTTTTGTGTTCGTGACATTCCGTAAAGTTTACTTTTTGACCTCGTGAACTTATCTAGGATTCGTTTGTAAACAACTTATTTCATATGCTCATTAACTTAAGATTTATGTTACCGTTTCCTTACGCATTAATCGAGTTATTTTCTTTTTTTTCTCTCTCTCTCTCTCAAGTGATTGGCTGTTGTTTGAAATCCCCGGTGTGGCTGCGCTTGATGTGCATGTTGACAAGGTGCCTACCTCTCTATTACCCACTACCTCGTCCATACTGGCTCCAGGAGACAGTTGGTCGTTGCTGGAGGGGACGGGGTGCACGGTCCTTGTGGCCGTGTTGGGGTCAAAGAGTGGTTCCATGCACACAGTGTGGAGCGGACTACGGTCCAACCACCGCCTTGTGTGTACTTGATTCTCAAATACAGTGTGCTTGAGTTGCATGTGAAGGAGTGTGGGCCGGCTCCGTTGATGAAACGTGGTTCCCATTCGCATACCACCCGGTCTTATTCCTCCGGGTTTACACTGGATATTGGGTGCGTGGATGGAGCTGTGGGTGGTGCAGCGCAAGCCACCCATGGTCCCTCTGTAGACGCAGGCGTCCTGTGGCTGGCCACAGTGACAGGCAACTCCGAAACCGGATGCCGCCAACCATACCCTGTCGTATCACCGGCTTCGAGTTGGTCTCATTCTGACGCACCATATATTGCACTTGGACCACTTCCTTATGTTGTAGCCGCTGCTAAAAGTTCATGTACTGAACAGCACATGCGGACTGCGGTACAAACTAGTTGTACGGGATTTAAAGCACATATGTTTTTCTTCGAGCGTCGAGTGGTGATACCTTGAAACCAATTGATGGAGACGCTCGTTGAAGCGAAATGTGTGTCGGAATTTAAGAGATTGCTTGATGCGCCCATAGCAACCTACAAGAATAAGGAGGGTTTCGCACCTGGCTTAGATATACTGCAGCTGAAACATTTTGACACCGCGCAGGAACCAGCGACGTCATTCCATACAGGTGCCTGATTCAACTAGGATGGAGCGACATAGATTTTTATCTTCTTGCTCTCTGTTCTCCGTATTCAGTATCCAATATTCGCTACCATCAGACACGTTACAATAAGGCAAAGAACGAACAAGGGTAGGAACGCTTCGATGGCGGAACATTGAACCTACCTGCTCGAGATTGGACACTAGCGTGGCCAGGCAAGTAGCGGGGTCAGGAGCAGAGCGCAGGATTCCCCGCGCCCATGCGGCGTCCATTTGGGGGAAATCGGGAACCCATTGAAAACCGAGGTAAGGCAAAATGCCTAGGTGTGACATTCGGCGAAACAGCAGTGGGGCGGAATGGCAATGCAGTATCCGCCTCAATTCAGTCCAACAGCGGTCGCCTGGGACATCATCGAGCGCCGCAACATTCTCGACTACTGCCTGTGATGAATGGGTGAGAAAGGGATATTGGTAAGCAAACAAAAAAATGAGTAGATTGACCAACGGTATGCTTGCTTTATAACTGAGCTGTACTGTGATTGAGAATCTACACTCACCTCCTAAAATAGAATTTGCAAACCAACAGAGTACCATCGCCATTACTAACTGCAACCTACAACCCTGATATTTAGCTCGAAGCCATCATTAGGGATATCAAATGGGACTGATAAAACCTACAGCCTAAATTTAAAAATAGGCAGTAGGAGCAAGACACCCGCTTTTCCTCTCGTTTGTTTGTATATATATCGTCACCCCCTAAGTGTTGACTTAAATTACCGGTTATCGTAAACAGCACTGAGAACAAGATACAAAGCGTATGCATCTGCCAAAGTTCGTCTCATTGTGTAGATGCGTGGAGGACGTCGACAACACGGAACAGCAGAAAACGACAAGAGCAAGAAAGAGTATCCGACAGAGGCACCGGAATCAGTCAGCATAACGCAGGCCCTACCGGACGAGTGGAAAAGAGACCGCGGGCGACGACGGGAAAAAAGTCTGCTCCCGGAAGATCTCAAACGATATTGGAGGAGAGGCCAAGAATTCAGACAAAGACGCCAATTGTTATGCCCCAAGGAACGACTCCAAGCCGAGTAACGCCTGGGAGATCAAGCAAGTCGAGAGCCTTCGAACAAATCTAGGCTGGTCGGAAAGCGACGTACAGGAGCGGAGATACCAAGCAAAACAGGCGAAGATGAGTTGCCGAATTGTCGCCAATTGGCGGGCGAAAGTGCCCGTCGACCGCATCGCATTTCTGGTGCGTTGTGGTGTAGAAATATGACTATATGTGTGTGGGCGTGCGCGCGTGTGAGACAGGTCGTGACGTGCAATACAGATCGTGCTTTATTGCCCCGTCGTTCTTGCTACAATTGTACTTTTCAAATTACTGACGAGACCAACTGTTTTAAAGAAGACATTGTTAACAGCTCATCGGATGCGCATATTCGGGCGACTGGGATGTAGAAATCTATGGATCAACCTTAGTTTCGTTATTTAACATTGATTCGCCATCTCGTAGTGTTGAGCAGTCCGGCAAAATAATGTTTACTAAGGGATAGCCACTGAGCCTGGCGCATTCACGCTTCAGGTTAAAGTAATCAGCGTGACAATCGTTTCGTAATCGACGAGATGTCACGTGTGAAACCATCTCCGTGCCTCAATACCTAAAGTGGACAAAACTTCTTTTACGTACTTCAGCACTCCATGCCTTTTCAGCAAACTTACGAAATGTGAACCTCGTCAAACTTTTAGAGTTGCAAGGTTAAACCTGCTATTCGTTGGAACAGCTGGTCATATGCCCAGTACTTCCCAATTCCGATTGACCGTTACAGAAATGGAGTGAAAATAAATCTGCATTATTTTATGGATCTACATTGCGTGGTGCTAGATGACTTAGAAACACGGGTACTACTCATGTAGAAATACAACAAAAGACGTCTCATGGTAATTCACTCTCGCAGAGAGCTCTCCAGTGTCTACGCAAATCATGTCATCTCCCTAGCAGCAATCTTGCTTTCCTTTGTCAGTCATATTCCAGGCTCTGGCGATTTGAAGGCATTTCAACTAGTGCATTTGAATCAGCTTCGGCCTTTTCATCTACCATGTGCTATCTGCTCTCTACACCTGAGTATTTCAAGAATCTTTGGACGGTCTTCTTTGGTAAAAGTACTTTCATGGTTACTGTGACTGTCCTACTCTATCCAAAGTTTGGATACAAGGTTTGACATACAACACATGACCAACTCAAACACCTATGAATAATTCATTTAGTAAAACCGGATACAAATCATAAGGATCTTTTCCGCAATGTGAGATTGTTGCTGCGGAAAGTAATTCGAAGTGATGACTGTGTCCCCTTTTCTTTTATGCTTATCCATCTGTAAACGGTTACGTCTTTATGATGACATTTTAGTCAATCTGCACTTAATAATATAAAATGAGAGAAATGCACCCATCCGGAGAGGTGAGGTTTATCTTGAATTGAAACATCAGCGTCCCCATCCGCGTGATATATTTAATTCCAACCTACTTGGAATCAGTGAAAACGTTCCACTGCATATCCATTACAGACAAATCCTCAGTTGTTCCTGTCCATCCATGAAGCTTCATTGGCTGAAGTTAAGTCTTCAGTTAAATCAGCTCTGCTATGTCACGCGTCTGCAAGGTTGAACTCATGATCCATAGCATTTCTGCAGGTAAGCCAATATCTCCCATGACCATGCGGTAGCACTCTTTAACTATGCACATGATACGAACCGTCCGAAAGACCATGATAAGCGTTACGAGATTCGGACTAGCCACGTCAAACTGAGCATTTCAGACGGATTTGTGTACGCTAATTCCACTACACTGTGAGTTGGCCCTTTCGATTGCAAATCTATCAAAAGCTAGCTGTTTTTCAAAATCTATCATATAAAGAAAGCGAAAATGGAAACTATCATGCACCATCTGTTACAAAGCGATCTGGGTAGCTGTAGAACTGATGCATAATATGGCGTAACCGAAGCTATTTGCCTGTCTTTGCGCAAAAATTACACCGACTACGGATGGTAAAAAGATTTCGCTGCCACCATAATCAACGCAGCATGTGTGGCCGCAACTCTCCTAGCGGACCAATGACACCAGAAGATAAACCAATACAACGCGGCTAAAGCCCTTTTTAGTGTTACTAATGAGTGCTGAGGATTTTGATATAATTCAGATAATTCAGCATGGTCACTCTCAGTCAGCAGGCTTAGGCGAGTCTGGAAAAGCCCCAGCCACCGGTGTTTCGACCTTCTGGATCTCGTCATTGGTGTTTTTCCAAAGTTGCCTAAGCCTGCTAACTAAGAGTGACCATGACGAATGTACTAAAGTATACCAAACCCCCACTACTCATTGTTAATATAAAATTCTGTCCGTATTGCTCCTGAGACCTTGTGCCGTGCCAAAGCGCTATGCAGAAATTTCTTGCACTTGAGGCTAGCTGCTGTCCGCTGCAAACTTCGTAATGGGCAAGGTAGTGGAATATGAGCCGGGCTATATCATAGTCAACTTTCAATCATGAAGCTCCGCGGCTATCACCCCTGGTGAAGTGGCACTAGCGGCTGGCATCCAGAAGTCATGGGGGTGGAACCCGGCAGGGGTCAGCTGGAAGTCGCACCACTGAAGAGACACGGAATGCCGAAACACCAGTTTCTGATGCTTTTTCGGATTAGTCTAAGCCTGCTGACTGAAAGTGACCATAATAAATTATCCGCATTATATCTTCTTGTTCCATTGTGGTGGGACTTTTTGCCCTAACTCCGCATTTGTGATCCCGAAACCAAAACTCAGCTTTATTATACATCAGTCGCGTTGGGAAGTCTTCATTGCACGCACTATCCTACCGAGTTTTAACTGACTAGAGCTGAGTTGGTGGACAAGAAGGAAAAGGAAATTAGACCATGTTTAATGGCGGTAACCATGCATCTGGATCCTAAAATGTCTGGATAACTGCGTTTTATAACGGTATTCGTCAAGGTGAGTTAAGCTCTGGTGTACAATTTGCGTCATAGTGCAGATATAGCGCTGGTCTAGATAAATCGATCATGCAGCGCCAACCTATTAATTGTGCAAGACAACTACACCCAGATGGTCGATAGGGCTGATGAAGTCCGCTCCACCCTTCCGGCATTAACTAAAACTTCACATCACGCAAACAAATTGAATGATACTTTTATGGCTTAACTAAGATCGAAACGCCTAAAAGCAGGCCTTCCCTCACATCAGCTGCTGCAAACACGATTTTCCAGAGTTTCTTCCATCGATTTCGCTGCAAATGCAAGTATTCCTAGGTGTTATACTAAGATTACTCTTATTCCTTTATCCTGATTGTTGTGTACGAAAGGTCACTCGCGTAAACGAACCGCCGTAATTTAATAAATGTCTAACTGGGTGAGTACATTAAGGTATCGCAAGGAGAAGGATGAACCAATAGGAAAGCAGAGAATTAGACGCTTTGTGTGTGTGTCTGGGGTTGTGTGCACGTGTCTGTTTAGACTAGCTGTCAAGACTGCTGACAGAATACACAACATCACCTCTCCGCTTAATCTTATGATGCGTTAAAACCATATCGATCCGGTCTTGTTCTGGGCTCGTCCTGTGGAGCTGTGTGCTTTGCGTAGTTCCATCAGTGAAGGTTGGTGGCACATGCTCCGTTCGTTTGATACCTGTGAATAATCTCCGGGCGTTGACTTTGCGGCCATCCACCAGCCGGTAACTGCCTGGCCCACATGCACGCGTTATTTTTATCGGATCTGATAACTTGGGCTGTCCTTTTGATGCAGCGTTTACCTTCATGCGCACGAATGTTCCGGGCTGTAGCGGAGTAGTATGCTTCTGGTAAGTGGTCTGATATCGATGGCGACGATCTAACTCGTCGGAATTATTGGTTGCAGGAATAGAAAGTGCGGCATTCAACTTTGTCCGAAGGGCACGCCCAAGCATGAGTTCAGCTGGCGTTTTGTCCGTGGCTCGGTGGAGTGCGGTTCGGTAAGCAAATAGTGCTTGTAGAACTGCATCCTCCCAACCTGTACCAGATAAGCGAATGGTTTGGATGGTCTCTTTCAAGGGTCGATTGAACCGCTCTACTATGCCGTTTGCCGCTGGAATACGGCGTTTTACGTGAGTGCCGGATAGCGTGAAGTTGATAAAAAGGAAGAAATTTGTGGCTTGTAAACTGCGGCCCGTTGTCCGTCACTATCTCCTCTGGTAATGCGAAGCGGGAAAACATGTATTTCAGCCATCGAATAATGCTGTCAGTAGTCACCTCTCCACACAGTTGGACTTCCGGCCATTTACTGTAAAAGCAGGTCACCACCAAACAGTTCCTTTGGTGCTGAGGCGCTGAGCTAAATGGACCCATGATGTCAAGAGCTATCTTGGTCCACGGTCGCATAGGATAGTCAATGGGTTGTATAGGG